ACAGTTGCATTGTATTTAGGTTTTAGCACTGTTGCTGCTTTGTCTCCACCACTTTAGCATTATTTCTCACCTAGAAATATGTTAGTTAGATAAACAGTTGCATTGTATTTAGGTTTTAGCACTGTTGCTGCTTTGTCTCCACCACTTTAACATTATTTCTCACCTAGAAATATGTTAGTTAGATAGACATTTGCATTGTATTTAGGTTTAGGCACTGTTGCTGCTTTGTCTCCACCACTTTAGCATTATTTCTCACCTAGAAATATGTTAGTTAGATAAACAGTTTCATTGTATTTAGGTTTTAGTTTTATATTTCACTTAATTATACATATTTGAAAGGTTTGACTTTTTTTTTTATATAAACCAATGCCTGCTCGGTTCACAAGAAAAAGTGTAATACATGAATGCCACCATGTTCTGCAGAGGGCTAAAATTTCTCTACCCTCTATCCAGTAATATTGACCAGGGATGCCCATTGATGTGTGTTGTGATAAATAACAGCACTAAAGGACAGGAAATGATAATAAATTATATGTAAAAATTTAGAGGCATGCCAAAAAAGATGTTTTAAGATTATTTCATCAAATATTAAATGGTATTTACGTTTTTTCTATGTCTACATTTTAAACATTTCATTGTAATGTACTATAGACTATATAGTATAAGTTAATGATAATAGCTACAGTTAGGAATATCATAGAGAAAGTGAAAAAAAAATATATATATAATCATTTAACTTAAATTACAAAGAACTTTTGATATTCACTTTGGAGGTCCTAGGGATTATGCAAATGAAATTTGAAACCTATAAGTTGAAAAAAGTATTTTTTCGTACTCGTGTTATTTTGTTGGTAATGCAAGAGGAATATTAAATGGTGTGTACATTTTTTCTATGTCTACATTTTAAACATTTCATTGTAATTCACACTTTGACTTAGAATTAATGAGCCCAACAATTATTCAATTACCAAATTCCATTAATTTCTCAGCTCTTTCAGTAGGTCCTGGATCCTTAATCTGTTCTCTCAAGTTCAGAAAACATACTGTGATGTTTTCAAGGTCAAACCCATCTATGGTCACTCTTTCCTTTCCTTCCTTGTCAGTTCAATCTCCTTTACTAAGTCCTTCAGCATTTCCATGCTGCTAGCCCAGTCTGTGTTATGCAATGAATTTATACTCCAGCAATGTAGTCATACTTTCCAATTACTTAAAGCTCATCAGCCAGTTCAGTGATTTACTCTACTGTAGAAGTAAATTCCCTACCATTCCAATAGTGATGAAATAGCTCTTTGAACACTTTGACAGCAAGCATTTCTTTCTAGTAACAACATATGGCTGATGTTAGTGTTCAGTTACATCCACTATAACATGTTCTACAATTTCCTGTGCCTATGATAGCTCTGTTATGCTTCCACTTTTACTGGCATTTTATCCAGGATAAATGGAACATCTGTGCTCAGATAAGCTAACACTGGTGTACCACTCAAGCCACATTTAAGTGACTGGAATGACTTGAGACAGTCCTTAGTACATATAAAATACAGTTCTCCTCAATTAGCACTTAGTGGTGCTACTATGGTACAAAAGTTGGCTACAAGGCATTTATAAAATGTCACATAGCTTTGAAAGATTTGAACTTTCTTTATAGATTTAAGTCAGTCTACTATTGCTTCTGCCTTAGTATATCTAGAGAGACTGTACTTGCAGTAAACAGTAGAAATTTCACCTGTTTTTGATAAGAGAAAATGTTGAGAAAGATAAAACACTTCCATTTGTAGACCACAAGTTTTGTTAACTGCTCAAAAGTAGCTGGCATTTTGCAGAGGCTGACTTGTATGACGTAAGACTCGTACAAACCCTCTCTGATGCTTAAAGCAACTTTGATTCTGCTTGTGGCATCTAACGTGACCTGCGAGAAGCAAAATTTATTGAATTTAAAGAGCAGAATCTGTTCACTGTGTTGAGAGTTTCTCCCATGCAAAGCCGTTGAAACATGTCTATGCACATTACCATACTGATACATCTGAAGTGCACACAGAACCTCATTGTGCCTCCATTCTTTCTAATAGTTACTACTTATGATCATCAGAACCTCAGAAGGTTGAATGATTTCATTCTTTAGCATCTAATCTTTCTCAGCATTGATTGTATCCTTTGTGCTTCAACTAAGCCTGTGTAGTGTTGCTTTACAGTAAATGCTTCTACATGGTGCCGTGTGAATTTATTTTTTCTTGTTGACATCTGTTTTGGCAAACAGTATTAGAAATAATTATGCAAATGGTGAAGGAAAAAATATATAAATGGGAAATACTATGAGAATAACCACCCCCTTCATTATGTGAAGATGAACTGCACCAGAATAAAGTCACAATTTGATAGCTTATACTGTGAATGATGGACATCTAACCAATCAGAAAGTGCCATACCAGTATGAAACCTCTATAAGTACAGGCAGTTATACTATGCCCAGTAATAGTAGTGTGATCATGTCGTCATTCCCAGGGCTGAAATACCTTATTACAAGTATGTAGAAAACATAGGTTTTGCTGGTCAAGGATACTCAATTTGAAAAATTGTAGCAGGACTCCATATTTTTGGAGCTTTATCCAAGACTGAAGATGATATGTGAAGCTGGCACTGTTAATGATAGAAGCAGTCCAGTTATAAAACGAAAACTCTGTATAAGTAATGTTAAAGATATGTTGTTTTTTTATAAGACAAATGACAGTCAAATACAGGCTGCTATCTAAGTCCATCAAGAATTGCTGATAATGTCAATCATTCTCATGCAAATCAACTGAGCTTGAAGACAATGGTAGAAAGTCAACAGAATGGAGCAAGCTGTAATGTGTGTGTGTGGGCTTAGTTATGGGGTTCAACTTTACACTTGTAACAAAGTAATTTATTTGGATTTTGGGTCACACTGTTGCGAGTGGAGCACACAAGCCCACCAGTGTGAAGAGGTTTATGTGCTAAATAAAGAACTTGCTCAGAAACAACCAATTACAAATCAAATAACTTCTTTATTTATACACTGTTGAACAGTTCATTTATTTCAAAACTATCAAGGCTATTTTGTGATAGCACTACTTCTAAATCATTGAGTTCTTCATGTTGAAAGTCTAGGTGTTCTTTAATAAATCCTGTTACATTCATTAACATAGATACCACATTAGTTAAGTTATCAATTAAGGTAACACAAGAAATTCTCTCGGTCATAATTGGTACAACTGCATTAACAATTCATTAAGATATCCTTTAGTAGTTCCCTCATATAGCTAAAACAAACAATCAATCATGTTCTTAAAAATATACTGTTAAAAGAAAATCATGATGTTTGTCAATTATTAAAAACTTAATAAAAGACATTTCAAGAGATTTAAAAGACATTGTATTGTAAACAAGTACAGTGTTTGTCAGGGAAGAGAGTAGTAGTTCATGTAGCATCTTTTTTTGAGCACATATGCCATTATATTATACTACCTGTTGTAATATTTGTTTTTAAGAACATCTTCAGTGGCAGAAATTAAATAATGCTTTGACTACATGCTTCAGTATATTTTTTATTTAAATACCAAGAAATTTATATAAATCACTATTTTTAAGGTGAAAGATATTTAGTGAACATTTACTATATTTCTCTCTAGTATCAAAAATATGTTGAGAAATTTCTGTGAACAACTTTTATTAACTTCTATATAAATATAATAGTACTGTCTGTTGTATGTCCATGTTACTACTTTGCAGGGTGTGGATGGACAAAATTGATATGGAGGTTCATTAGGTCCATACGGGAGTACATAAAAATTTGTAGTTTTGCATTTTGGAGTTTTTTTATGGGCATTTTTGCAGTTTTTACCACTACTTCACCCCCTGTAGATGGATCTTCATCAAAGTTGGTATGGGGGTTCATTGGGTCTATGGGGAGATACATACAAATTTTCAGTTTTGCATTTTATGTTTTGCAGATTTTATGGAAATTTTAACTTTTTTTAGAATTACATATAAGGGAAGCAACTTTCCATGGCCTTTCATTAACCATGAATTTACATAACTTCCATCCAAGGGACGGGTACTCCAGCTAGTTGTTAAGTATGTAATCCTTCTTTCTGCATAAGCATAAAAAAAAATGTAAGGTTTGATAGGATAGTGTGTATGTATTTCTTCATTATATTTTCATTTTAATTGTAGGTGAAGAGATTAACATCTATAATTCAACAAAAACATGCCCAGTACCATCATGATCTCAGGAAGAAAGAAAGAGAAATTAATCAGTTAAAGGAACGACTTCACCAGTCTTTTAATGATAAAGGTTTGGAAAAAAGACTAGGTGAGTTTTTTGGAGTACAAATGTTTTTAAAGTATAACATTTAATGTCTTTGTAATAGACAATAAGCTAAAGACTATGATTTTAAGCACTTGGAACTTTGGTTAAAAATCTTTTATGTAAAGATAAAGGCTTAGATTATTTATAAATGTGTGTTTTAAATTTATTATAAAAGTTATAATCTATCAATGTTATCTCAATAAACTTTGTAAAATACCTGATACATTAGCAAAAAGGGTGAGAAGATTAATTTGAACATTTAATTGAAATCTTACAATAAACTTCAGTCATTTTCTTCCAGTACAAAGATTAATATTTTATTCAGCTACATGGACTCAGCATGGATAAATACTATATCAGATACCATAGCCTCGCTTTTTCTACATCATATTGAACAATGTGCCTTACACATCTTTACACAAGCTTTTGTTTTGATTTTGGTATGTAAACATTGTTTTATGGGCTCACAAATAACTAACAAACACTCTGTTGAAAGTGAAAATAGCTTCACAATAACTTTTCTAAATCTAAGCATCACACAAACTCTCCAAGCTTTCAACATAAAAATGCCCAGGAAAAGCACATATAATGGAAGCTATATAAACTGATTTTATATCCATGTAATTCATCAAACATTTGGCACACTAAAAGGCTTTCTTAGTTTAGCATATTTGTTATACACTAACCCCCACTTTGACAAAGAAATCACAGGCTCAATCCAGTGTTTCTCTGTCCCAACTCCCATCCAAAATATTTATATAAACAAAGTAAAAGAACACAGACACAACAATATTAACAGACAGGCAAATCCTAAAAACATGTAGCCAAACTCACTAAACCTAATTACAAGCACTATTCCTTTTGTAGAAAATGTTAGCATACTCCTTAACTCTCTCACTATAGGCTCGGTCCCAGGGTTTTAGTTTTCATGCTATAAATTTTAAATTATTAAGTGTATCTTCACGAAATTTTGTAGATTATCAGTAAACATTACAAAGCTTTCGTATGCAAAATATCAGATTTTTTAGTAAGTTTTAGATTTTTAAGTAACATTTTTCTCATACATTTTTTTTTAATGTTAACTATCCAACATGCAAAGTAATTTTGATTTCAAGATTAGAAATACTTCTTAGCATCAGAAAATTTTAAAATTTCACATGCAAAGCGTTTCTAACCTCCAGATAATTATCAAACCTTTTTTAGAAAAACTTTTATTTTATCTGTTATTTTCACTATTGTACCTCTTTACGGGTTTGATTGATTTGCTTGACATTGTAACTACCATAAAAATTAGGAAATAGATATAAATTGGGCTTTTTTCGTTCTAGAATGACTACAGATTATAACACGAAAACACAAATAATTAGTTTAAATAACTTAAACCTCATAACATTATACATCTATATATATTTATTATTTTTATTTTATTGATCCTTCAGATGTGCCTGACTAACATTACAGAAGCTGCAATGACACAGCGCATGTGCATTCATATTACTATATCCAAGATTATAAAACTGGCCTTTAAAAAGTGATCTGTTTTGGCTGTGTTCTAGTGGACCAGTATTTTGTAAAATACAGTCACATGTCAGTTATAGTATATTATATATGTATATACATGTTCATGATGTTAGAAAAATGCGTAGGTTCAAGAAGTCTTGATAGAAATGAATAAAACCCTATAACCCAAGCACTTTCGAAAGGTGGACCTCTTTTCTTCAAGGGCAAACTAGATATATGTATATACATTATTCTTATTTACAAATAAGTCCTTAAATTTCAGTTATTTTTCTTAAAACATAGAACAGTAAATAAAGAAGTATTGAAAACAATTATCTCTTCTAGTTACAAACTTTGTACTCATTTTCTGCTTGCCATAAGTTGCTAAGCCTTATATTTTGCACGTGGAGGATATAAAACACAATAATTTTCCTTAGGTTTTATTTTTGCATTTTAAGATAACAAAAAATCATAAATTTTTATATCAATACCACAGAATTCCACTATAATTTATCAGGATTAGTAAATAAGCCGTATTTGGGTCTAAAACAATATGATTTTTTGAGCTCAATGATGTCTTACCTTACCGCTTGGAATCTAGCATAAACAGAAAGAGTTTACCATTCAAATACTCCACAAAGGCTTAGAAAACCACTATGGGGACATTCTGAGCTTTCGATTGGTTATGCACGTTATTGGGCGAAGTAAGTGTACATGAACAAGTATTTTAAAAAATGGAAGATCCACTTTGGTTGATTCAATAAATATATTAATATCTCAGAAAATAGAAAAGATAGGAGGTTTTTTATCTTATATTCTAGCTTGTCAATATTGATAATTTGAGTATCTAATTCGTAAGAAACAATAGACTTTGTATTTGGACATCACAAATATCTAATTTGAACAAGGCTACATTCAACATACCACACAAAAATCAATATTTAGGTTCTTTTTTAATATATTTACTTTTAAATTAAGAAATTAACTAATGTATAATGCTAAAATTTAAATTATAATCTACAATTTGATATCACAATTATTGACATACATTCATAAAATAGTAGTTCAATACAATTTTTGAATGTGAGTCTACAATCGCGATGACATCACCTTTGACCTGTGACCATAGGAAGACACATGTCAATGAGGTTAAAGAAATCTGATAAAGGTTAACATGAAAGACAGTAATGAAACCATGATTTTGACATAACTAAATTCTTGTTCACTCAAGGAATAAACATCAAACATATGCTACGATAACTATACAACAAAACCAGCCCTTCAGGAAACATTTACGAAATACAATGCAATAACTGCTTGACCTGTTTCATTGGTGAAACACAGCACAAGTTAGACACTTAGATAGCAGAACACCAAAATTCTCTGTCTCTAAAGTATGTGAGCACAATAGTTAAAAACAACCATAATTTTTCTGTCTAATACATCACTATACTAAAATATGCATCAGACATTAATAAAAGAAAAATTAAAGAAGCCTTACTAATTATATTTAATGAGCCTACTGTTAGTCAACAGCGCCTACCCCTCTATAAATTTTTAATTACCATTTCCTCAGATTATTTTCAATCTAACCAGACTCCTGATACATATATATATATATATATACACACACACACACACAGGGTAGTGTTATACACACAAGTATAACACTACCCTTAAATATGACTAAAAATGTTATAGAACAAACTGTCAGTTGATAGATCATTATTTAAAATACAAGTTACATTACATTTTAGCCTAAATTGTGTGTACTTGAAAATGATTGCAACAGTAATTGAAATGTCATAAAAATAAATAAAACAGAAAAAAGGAAACCACTGAAAAATCTCTATAAAAACAAAGTATTTACATCCTGCTAACCATCACTCACTGCTCTTTTGCTGTTTTTGTGTTGAATCTGACATAATGGGTGCATACACTCAAAAAGAACTAACATTTTTTTCAAAATATTATTTTTAGTCATTGAATAAATTTGTGTAATATTAATCAGGGATGTTAGAAAATTATTTTAAGTAAGCAGTTGTGGGAGAATGGTTAATTTGTTGAAGGGAACCGACAAGTAAGTCAGTCTGCCCCAGGGCCTCTCAGACACACATTGTCATTGAAATTGTGAAATGAAGAAGAAATTAAAAGTTTGGATTGCTTAATATACACTATAAGGATAGTCATGGGATTTTGAAAGAAAGAGTAAAAAGAATAGATAGTATATATTTAACAAACTGGACAATAAAAAATTAGAAATAGTAAAAACATAAAAAATTTGTTTTATGTCAAGCAAAAATTAACTGGTTTATATATACACACACACACAAGTTTTCATCATCTGATGACTGGTTTGAATTTTTCATTTCACAATGAATTAAAAAATGTTTGTTGTTGTTTTTATGTGTCCACTTTTTGGATGTGTGGTCTAAATATAATTAGTGCTGGTATATGAATGTCTTTAAAGTACATAATTTATCCTTTATTTGTAATTTTGTACCCATTCATTATTGATTAGATACATTTGTAAGAATATGTTAAGAAATATTTATGTTTTTCAAACAAAGGAATAGACATTATTAATCAATTGCCAAGAAAAGATGGAAGGAGAGGCCAATGGAAAACAGAATTAAAAACCAATCTGTAAGTCACTATATTTTTGTTAAGCAATGAAATAAAATATTGTACAGTATATTCAAAACGTTCTGCCCCATTGGACATTGTACTTAAAATGTGGGCCACCTGCTGACAGCATGAGAATGCATTAATATTTGGACTGTTTTTTTTCCATTATCTTGCTAATTATCTTTGTGGCTGTGTTCATTAGTGGTACATGAGGAAGGCATGAGTGTGAATATACAGAGATTGAATATGCTGGATTAAAGCTTAACAGTCCTTCTCACCATTTCTGATGTCCATGCTTGTTGCTGTTAGCTGTGCAGGATTTTCTTAACCATTATCACACAAGAAAATTTAATAATAAAAAAATACATATTTGCTAACTTTTGTGACTTGCTCATTAAATGTATGATCTTAGCTTGTCCTTTAGAATGAGTTGTACATTTTGTAAGTTTTTTCTAAACACTACATACTGAATCAAATGAAGCTGCAGTTCCAAAATTCAAGTTAAAAACCTAACTGTAATTGAAGTTTACAGTTTGAACAGGGTATCAGAGAGGGCAGTATCTTGCCAGGTATAGCAGAACCACATAAATAGTTACAAGTCATATCATTGGATAAACGAAGATTTGCATATTCTGTTTAGTTTAACCTATCTGTATAGCTGTGGATATGTTCAAAGAACTTGTGTTATTTTTTTATTAATTCAATTATCCTACAGGCTAGAGTGTATGTTATTAGGCTTACGTATGGAAGGGTTTGAGAGTGGGAATGTTTAACCCTACAATTACTGCTTTTTAAAAAAACATTTTTCAAAACTATTTATGGACCAAATTGCTTGTGTGATTATGATTTTATTGATTGCAAGGTCCGTAATAAGGTATAAACCATACAAGAAGTGAAAATGAAAATACTATCAATATTTTAATAAGTCCACTAATAATTGCTCACAGCCTCTATGTATGTGTACATAGAAAAATTAAAGATTTTAACTAGTTTTTAAGTTCTTTTTACTATAAGTATTATAACAAGTTTAAAAAAAGAAATTACTCAGTATGATGTGATGGGACCCCACAACTTGATGATTAATAATTAGATAATTTGAAGGTTATTAAGGTAATATAAAAGATGTATCCAGTGTAGTTTTTTGAGCTGTTTAGAAAATGGTTAAACTACAGTTTGTGAAATGCAAAATGACCACTCATGCATTGCCTGCCAAATTAGAATAAAACTTTTTGCAACAAAATCTGAAATGGAGATGTATTACAATCTAAAAGTAAATAGTACTTGTGGAGTAATACAATTTTCGTTTGTATTTGTATTTTCCACACACCAAGCTAGTGCTCTACTACCATTAACAATTACTGATAATGTGACTTATTATACTAATAACTTTTGGTTATTTAAAAAAAAGATTCACTATGATAACTACATTTTAAATTTTTATCTTTATTAAAACAAAAAGTAATAATGATCTTTCTCCCAACTTTGATATTCAATGAGTAATTCAATCATAAGAAATAAAATCAAAAAAGTTAAGTCAACCAGTCTCCAGTGAAAATGACATTTCTTACACTAATAATTGCTTCACTAACCTCTTAATTTCCTGAGTTGTGATTTATTTATTTATTTATTGAGGCCCGCATCAATATCTGCGATGTTTAGCACCTACAAACAAGTAGTTTGTATACCAATATGTAAAATTCTTGCTCATGTCAACAACTAATAAAAAAAAATGGATGCAGCTACAAAATGTTCCGTGTACAAAGTTGTTTGGAAGTGCACACAACTGGAACGCATTGACCCATCAAAATGTCTCGTGTCTGACTATGTACAATGGAGCAGTGCTCTTTGCACATACTGATCTTTTTTTCTTTTAATTTGAAACAACTTAAATTTTGTTTAAATGAGGCCATAGAGTCTTATTTAAAATCCTTCAACACTTTCCAACTTATCACTTTGTACATACATATGTATGTTAACCAGCAACCTGTAGTTCTTGTACTTCCTTGACTAACTGAAACACTCATATCATCAACAAAATGGAAGCATTCCCAAAATGTGTAAAATTAGCCTTTAAAACTTTCTTTGGTAAAATACTCAAAACTAAATCAAAAACAATTAGTTTTTGTTTCTCACTAATTATTTCCCCCTTGTTTTTCTCATATATACATGTACTTCTAGTTTGTAGGTAAAGAAGTAAATTTTTCATTTTATGTCTCAAAGCCTTATTTCATATTGTTTTCTCTGAAAATGCTAAAATCTGTTGAACTGTAATAAATGTTGTGTTTTCTAACCAATTACTTTGAAACATAATTCACTGTAATGGCAATACAATAGAACTGGAAATTTTATCATTGTTTTAATTGAACATTATTGGTTAAATGTACCTTCTATCTCCATGGAGCATAGTATTATGTTTTTTTTTATATTCTCCTTAAATAACACTTAATTTGATTAGTTAATTGCTTTGTTTGAGTGATTGGCTTTCATACAGAGTGATAAGGATTTTATTGAATGTTGCAGTTATGCCATAACTACAGTGGTTGAAAAAAAAGTATTTCATCACTCAGTTTTTGCACACTTTTCTTGTTTCCTGTAATTTTTTATGAGATTGTGCATAGTATATACATCTTTTAAAAACCAACTGTGATGAACAGAGTACAACAGATTGTCAACAATACTTGACAAATACAAAAATGTTCTCTGAGTAAGAAAATGTAGACTTAAAGACAATGCCACTAATCTAATTAACCCTTTCAGCACTAGCAGATGTGATTACCATCTGCTCGACTAGGGAAGCACATTTATGCAACAAAAATATGGTAATTCTGTGTGTTCCTCACAAAAACTAGTAAGACTTTTTGTTAAAGTTTATAAGTATCTTGCACACAAATAATGATGTTATTTTAATTATGTCTTTCTATTATAAATGTTATTTATCTATAGTAGTTATTTGCACTCAAACTATTAAAATAGTTTGAGTGCAACGTGATTTTCATTTTAAGTATAAAAATAGTTTTCTTTATCTTATAGTTTTCGTATTCATTTGCATAACCTCTATACCCTCCTAAATGAATAATTGTTGGCTGCTTGATCGACTCTAGCACTTACAGTTGTTTCTTACCTAAATATGTTATAGTTAGAGATACAGTTTAAATTGTACTTAGGTTTTACTATTATATTTTAGTTAATTATGAACTAGTTACGTTTTAAAATGCATAATTAAAAGGTTTGAACATTTTAAAAATATACATCATATATTGGGTCTGTTCTCAAGGCTTACACGGTTATGATCAGAATGAAAATTTTGCCAGAGTTATGCATGTCTTCTAAAGGAAATGTAATATGTCTAGAGGGCACTGTTGACCTGTGTTGTGCTGAATAATAAGTAGTAAAGGACAAGAAAGGAAAATAAAACTTTAAAAATTAACTATATGTGAAAAGGAAAAGACTTGAAACTAAATTTAACAAAAAGAAAATTTTTAAGTACATTTTTCTAAAAATTAAAAGGTATGTAATTTTTTTTTTCTATTTCCTAATTATAATTATTTCATTGCATTGCACATTGATGATAATGGCTAGAGGTAGTGATATGGCACAGAAAATGAAAAAATATATAAACATTTATCTTACAAAACTTTTGATATTCATTTAGGAGGGTATAGAGGTTATGCAAATGAATATGAAAACTATAAGATAAAGAAAACTATTTTTATACTTAAAATGAAAACCAACAGTCAGTTACATATATTCCATGATAACAACTATGCGTCAATTTCAAAATAACCGCCGTTAGACAATAGTGTAAAATAATCTCTTTCTAATGATTATACATGTGTATGTAACATCTACATGTAAGCTATAATTCTCAAACAAATCTGTTGAAGTTGGGCTTGGCACCTGTCAGGGGTTGTAAACATTTATTATTTGTTTTAACTGTATTCATTCAGAAAACTTTGAAATGAACGAGTCAAAAGGCTATGTAAGCATTTTATTCTTTAGACATATCTCTACTCAACTACCATTGTATTATTGAAGATACAGAGGGCCCAAGTAGGGAAATTTCATAGCTTGTTGGCCACATGACAATATATCTGAAGTTTTAAGTAGTTTTTAATTAAATTTTTAATGTAACACAGCTCAAAAAAAGCATTTAAAGGGGCACCTGTTATGAAAGGATTAACAAAAAAGTGGTTACAAAGTGTGTTTCGTATTTTAATGTTTGATTGTGTCCCATCTGGCCTTTAACCACTTGACATCACTGTGGAATAAAGTGCACAAGGGACTGAATCTAAGCAGGGGTCATGATGACACACGTGATTAGGGCTTCCTGCAATTCCAAGATGCATCTTGGTTTCTTCTCTCGTACTTTGTTACCCATTACCTTCCAGCAGTTTCCAATAGGGTTGAGATCTGGGTTGTTGCGTGGCCAGCATAGTGTCTTGATACTCTCCCTTCAAAGATAGCCCTTTACCTGAAGCATTGAAATAAAACCTAAGATGTCTTTTCCATACACGTAAAGAGAAATTTCCTCTTTATTTCATGCCTACTGTGTAGAGTGCATAAACATTATCAACCTTATTAGCCCTTTGGTATGGAGCAGAGTCATCCTGGAATGTGTTCTAATTAGCTCCTCTGAAGTAATCTTGAATTGTTGGCTTTAACCAGCACTTGAGGATTTCAGTATATTTGTTGGCATTGACAGTGCCTTTCACAAAATGCAGGCATCCCACACACTGGCCACAGCTGCATCCCCACATCACCTGACCCTGCAGATGTACCACAGTTGCATTCAGACGTGCTGGATAAAACTCTTCTTCACATTGCCATTGTACAAAGTGCTTTAATTAGATTCATGCAACTTCAACTTTGATTCCTCTGAGAAGATCACTTTGCTCCACATTACTTCAGTCCTGTCAGCATATGAGGAGGGGTTTCTTGGCTGTCTTGCTGGGAAACTGGCTGAACACAGGCAAAGGTGTGTGCATTGACAGTGACCCATGAATTTTCCTGCCATGCTCTTCTGGATGACAACCGATGATTCTGCAGGCTTATATATTTAAGAACATGATCGTCACCTTTCTATCATTTCCTTCCCACCAAGCAGTTCACGTTAGACTGGTTAAATTTAATTCTTCTAGCACTTTGCCTTGTCAAAAGTCCTTCTTTGCTCAAAGAAACAATGACTGCTTTTTTCTGTGGAGTTAACTCGCAACCCTTGGCCATGATAGCACTACATGCACATTGTAGCAGATAGGCTTCTAAACTGACTCTCAGAAGAACCTCTATTTATGGCCAACAAAAGTGGCTGATGCAATAAGCAGACAGTACTGCATCATCCATGAAATACATTTACACCTACATGCATTAGGGCCTCAAAACAGATGGTGATTCCAAAGAAAAGTGTGAAAAAATTGGAATATACAAGAAAGTTTTCAACCACTGTATTTTGCTTTTGAAATGTTCATTATTTGTTCTTGTTGGAGTTTTATATGTATATATATATATAATACATTCTAGACAGGAAGAACAACTTCAGCAGGTAGTTTTGGCAAATTATGAATCTAGATACCAGGAACTCATGGAAGAAAATGCTAAGCTCCGTGATTCTCTCTGCTATCTTCAAGATCAATTGCAGGCATTACTGGATCAACCTTTAGAGTGTGAAGAAAATCATAATGGAGTGAAAGTAAGAGTAAAGATAAATCTAATATTAAAAATAAAAATTTATTTTATTAGCAAAACATACAGTGTAACTATAATCACAAGAAAGGGATCATTTCATAAAACATCATTATTTTACATATACTTGCATTTCATGTTAATTGTGATCTTTTGATTAATTTTCATGTTAAAACCTGAGTATCGATGTAATAATTGTATTAATCATCATTTTTTATTCAATCACTAAGATGTGAAGACAAATTTTAGCAAAATATATCTTAAACGATCTGGATCAAACTTTTACAGCCAAGTATAACAACTAATCCTTTTTGTTTGTCCTTTAGCCAAAATTGTATTAAACTATCAAAAAAACAAAGTGCAAAAATCTCACAATTTATTCATTATAGGATTTCAATTTGAATTTCTTACAAAAATATCAGTGTTTAAGTTAATACCAAATTGTATGCTTAAATTTTCAGTTATTTCTATTCTAAGTACATGTATATGTAAGAGCTACAGTAATTTCATTAAGTTAAAGTTTCCTTATTTATAATAAACTTTTTTCTTTTACTACAAATTAAGTGCCTGACTTTAAATTTAATATTAGTCTATAATCATTGATCAATTACTATAAAATCCTAAGCTAGGTATTTTGAAAAACTAATTTTAACATTGCTAGAGGCATGTTTGACATACATAGAATTCAGTATTTTTGGTTACATGTTCACTTAATGTTGGTTGTATTTGATGTGGATTCAGAATTACTCATGCAAAAAAAAGAGAAAGAGAGACAGATATTGAAACTTAATGCAACATAAAGAGAGAAAAATAAAAATGCTGATACAGAGTAGAAGGAAATGAGTTTTCTATTTCTGGGTATGTGATATACTTTACAATTTTGAACATTTTAGACAGCACTCCTCTTCCTTCAGTATGAGAGCCACTGTGTTATGGGACTTACTTCATTGTTTGTGTCTCCTCACAGAGTTACTGGACATATCCATAGAACACTTATAATATTGAATAACCACCTTCACAACACAACAGTTCCAAATATGACATTATACATCTAGCTCAATGTTTAATAATTAATTTATTGTATCACATTTGTATAAACTTTTTCCTTGTGTATACTTGCAGTTTTAAAATTAAGATAAATTTAATGTATTAATAACATAATGCAGATGACAGTAATTTTTGTGTCAATTTTTAATACCTGCTTACTGTAGCATTGACATGTGAGTTATATGTTACAGTGGCTTCTAAATGGTAGAGCAATCTGTTAATTCTTAGTGTGAAATCATATTAGCTTGGTACAGAACTGTGCAAGGTCAATAGCACAAATTTATCAAGTAAAATTTACAACCCTGCTGCTGGATACGCATGAATAAAGTGGGTTGTAAATTATTTTAGCATTTAAATTTAATCAAGTATGGAACATTTAGAATATATGTGCACTATTTATTCACAGTTTGTCAGGCTGATTGAATAGAGACCATTGAAATAATGTTATGCAAAAAATACATTGAAATACATTAATCACAAAATGAAAGGAAAATAAGTATTAAAAACATCTGTTTTTTCATTGTTCCTTATTGTATAATTTTTGTTATGAGACTTAACTTCCAGATTTTTAATTCATAATAAGTCACACAAATGGAAAAAAAGCATAAACATAATACTGCAGAATAGAGCAGTTTTTACAAAAGCATTTTTGGCATATTTAAAGTTATCTAATAAAAATATACTTTTTGTTTTATACTATTATTTTAATTGCATTTCTTCATACACAGTTTGCCAACACAATCTCTTTAACATGCATCACCATTACAACTTTTACCTATACTGGTAAATCTGTGGGCTCATGGTCCACAGTTACAGGGCTGTGTAATGCAAGTTTAATTTCTTTAATGAAGTTATGGACGGTAATTATTAGGCCCACTTATTTATATGATCTAATGTAAATCAATGCCAAATTTGGGGTCTGCTTTCACGAAATCCCCGTAAAAGTGGTTTTGTGAAATATCCATGTTCTCTAAATGGTTGGGTGGAAATATTTACTTTTGTGCAAACCTTGGGACTGAGACAATTTGTTTGACAACACTTAGAAATTGGTGAGTCCAACAGTTTAGGAGAAGAGGTTTATGGGAAATCCCTGGGTTCTCCAAGGTGTAGAGTGAAACATTTTACTTTTGTGCAAGCCTTGGGACCAATTAGAAGTTGGTACAACCAGCAATTTAGGAGTTATGTGACACACAGACAGTGAATCTTATTATACAGATATTAACTTAAAAGATAAATATATGGCCTTTTGAAATTAATAGTTATTTTCATTATGAGACTGGTGAAATATTGTTTGTAGATGTGCTAGATAATCTACTGGTTTTGTAGTTAATAAGCTGCTGGAGATATACTTAATTATAATCAATAAGTAAAAAAACCTAACATATAAAAGCTAACTTATTGTGTTAGTTGCTTGAAATTGATCTTAGCCTGTTTTGGCTGTCAGTGAAGGACAAACTGTTTGTACTCACTGGTGTTGATTAAAATGAATAACCAACAATTCAAATGTAGAAAGAAGTTTCTCTCTCTCTCTCTCTCTAAAACATAGTTTTGTCTTCAAGATGAAGAGAAAGCTATCAGGACAACATGTTTTTATGTATCATAGTTCTATAGTATTCTTGTGAATTGAATTAGGACTTAAAGATAATGAAATGTATAGTTAACTGCATAGGCGACAAAGATATTGAAATTAAAGAGTAGCTTAAACAATTGCAAAGTTTTTTGTTTTTTATTTTAATAGAAAAATTAAAATACACATGATACATTCAGAGTTATAGTTTCATGATTATATGGTGGTTACAAGGTTGGTAAAATTAACCAACCTATATGCATTGGGTAATGATCTTACAAACAGTTTTTGGTGTTTGAAAACATCATTATATCACACAACAGAGCTTCATTAAATTTAATATGTCTGAACTTCATAAAACACAACTCATATCTTATTTCCTACAACTTCAGCAACTGTTAGTGTTCATGCATTGTGATTCTTCAAAAGTTTGTAAGAATTTTTAATGAACATTAAACAAACACTAGTTAAGAGTAAATCATATTTCCTTTTGTTAAGATTAGTTAAATTCTAAACTGCACAAGTTATAAAATGGAATGGAAAAATAACTTGTAGGAAGATCTATATATAGCAATGGTTTAAAAGAGAAAACTGGAATTTTTTGTGACTTACAATTCTTAATTTTGTCAAAACTTTGAGGATAAATAACCATTATCTGTGTACTGGACAGCTTATGGCCAGATAACAGGTATAATTAAATAGCAAAAACTATACTTACCCAAAGAATGTCTGAGGTGCTTTGATAGTTTATAATTAGGTTCAGGTTTCCTTCTTGTTAACAAAACATAGGTTGACAAAATTACACTGGTTATTGATCAGGAAGTCTAGCAATACATTTTCTATCCACTGAGGCATACTTGTAGACATGTAATGAAAGATCATTCCAACTATTAAATAGCTAATTATTTGTAAATTATGCTTCAGTAAAATCATAAAAAAAATATTCTATTAAATGTGAAAGACTTGTGTATAATAGATTTCAATACAGTTTAAAAATACTTGAAACATGTTTCTGCAATGGAGTATGTTATCTGTTTAAATTTAAAAGTCAGTGGTGGACAAATGGTATAAAGGCATGACAGCCAAATCTGAATGTATTAAATATGTCCAGACATTGACATGAAGACAAGTATAGTATGATGACTGAAATGTGTATGGAATGTTTTCTTATTATTTGTTTGATTAGATAACATGTATAATTAATGTTCTTGTCACGTGAAAAGCATTCTTCCAGACTGTTTGTCTAAGTGAATGCCAGAAAGTTCACTCTAGACCTGAAATAGACAACAAAAACATGCATGTATGGAGTATACCAGAATCCAAGGGTCTCACAAGTGGCAAAAATGGATCTTCCTGTTGGGAAAAAACTACCTAACTGAAACAGATAGAGAAAAAAAAAAGAGATAGGGAGAAAAACAATTTAGAAAAACTGTGTGGAGAAGAGATCGCTTCACAGAAGACAAAAGAGAGACAGATGGAAAAGAACACAGGCAGAAGGATACATGATGTCCTTAAATGATCAGACTTCATGGAATTTCTCCCCAAAAACTTTTTAAAAAATAGTTAAAAATATCAATGGTTAATACATTCAAAAGTACAGTGTTCTTTCTAATAAAACTAAAAATAAAACATTAAAACCTAACATGAGGTGTAGCTGTACACAATTTTAATAGAGTATCTAAATATCTAGCTCTACATTGTTTTCATTCTCTAAGTTAAAGAATAGGTTAAACAGTTGCCAAGTTTTTTGTTTTGTTTTTATTTTATAGGATGATGTTTCAAGCTAGTACTCTTTGTCAAATCATACAGCTTACAACAAAAGGCACATGTGCAGAAATTTAAAATTGTGTTCATGGCATTTTGAACACTCAGTGTGAAATTTCTCTACAAAATTACATCTTATACATAAATATTACAAATCAAGAAAACATATAACAGATTGATATTAAAATTGTAACAAAGTATAGAAAAATGGGAATCTATAGGAACGAAAAGCATGCATTTAAACCAGATGATTGTAGGGTTTCCAGATTGTAGATTAATCTCTTTCCAGTCATTCTCTTTTGTGAATGTCTGTTGGAACACTAATAAATCCCAGAATTGAATACACTTGCCTAATGAACTGGTGAATCCAACTTGTAATGGTAATAGGAGAGAGGCCCCAGGACAGGAAAGGATTCTATGGAATAAACAAACAGTTTTTGGGAACCACGGAAAGGAGAGTGCAAGTGAAATACCATTGGAGGGCCCAGAAGAGGCGATTAGGATCAGAATGGTAAAATGTGAGAAATGGAGGATAAGGAAATGGGAGAAAAAGTGGAACTACCCTCTCTAGCAGCAGAAGTCTTGGGCAAAAGGAACAGTCAGGAAAGAGAATATAGGAACTGTAGAACAACATAGAATGAGTCAGTTGCAAAGATCTCAGACTGCTGCCAGCCACAAGCCATCAATATGAGGAATGGGAATTTAAGGAAAGGAAATACAGGGAAAAAAGAGATAAAGGTTCAAATGGAGGACGAGTGAGAGCCTGAAGGACAACAGTGAAATTCAAATCCAGGAGAGACAAAGGGTGGGGAGGACTGGAAAGAGAGAACAAATGAAATAACAAAGACAAGATGGAAGATTGGAAGACAGAGACAAACTCAGTAAATATGAATGTGTAAGATAATGCAGCTCGATAGCTGGCATTCGAGGAAACTGAAAGAGCCAAGTGAAAAGTGCAGTCAACTGTGGTAGGGAAAGTTGTGAAGAACAATATGCCCAGCAGAGTGACTAGCAGTGGAAAATATGCCGTTTACGCTGATAAACCACCAAGGAGGAAGGATGTACAGAACAGGCAATCAGTCAAGCAGCAAAGGATGAGGAAATGGAGACCAAAAATGGGAAAGTTGTGCATTGAGATATCTGGCAAGAGCATCCACACATAGAATGAGCACACAACTTCTGAAACACCTTAGGAGTATCTGAGGGACCCCTAATGAGACCCCATTGGTTGAGTAACACCCACTAAAGGTGATGCATGTGAATGCGACCAAGGGGAATGAGGGCTATGAGAGATAGTATCTCTTCCACAGTAGGAGAGAAAGAGGCTAATAAACTGCCAATGAAATATTCCATATCCTGTAAATGAAGGGGAGAAGCCTGGGCCCAACTGATGAGGGAATTGAAAAACACACCCAGATGAATCAGATATTGTGTGGGTGTGAGAAACAACTTCTCCGCCTTGATGAGCCAACCCATTCTGGCAGCCTCTCAGAGAAGAAACTGAATATGAACAGCAGATTTGACCTAAGAGGAAGCCAAAAGTAGTCAGTCGTCCATGTAATGGTGGAATGAAAACCTCTAGCATGAAGCAGTCGAGTGAATGACCTGACTACTCGACAGAAGGCATAAGAAGCTGAGGCCAGGTCAAATGATAGAGCCTGAAACTGATAAATATGCCCTTGATAACAAAACAAAGGAAATACCAGGATGCCTGGAGGCTGGAAATGTGTAGATAAGCATCCGACACGTTGATCTTTGTCATCCACAATCGGGAGTGAAAACCCCTGGAAGAGCTAAGTAAAACTCAAACTTCAATTTGGGTATGACCATGAAATGGTTCAGGGATGATAATTCTATAACCGGTTGCCAATGTCCCGTCTTTTTGGTTTGATGAACAAATGGAAGTAAAACCCCAGCTGAGAAGGTTCCTCAAGTTCTATGGCCTATTTCTGAAATAAGTCCCAAACTGCATCCTGAAGATGCTGGCAAGAAAACAGGATCTCTTGGTTGGGGGAGGGGAATGTAAGTGAATTGCCAGACCCATGGATGCATTGTAAATGATGGCTACATATGGTGAAAATGTAAAAGCTGGCCCTGAGTCACCTGTCAGCTAAAGTTATTATTATGTATAGTTAATATTAACTATAATCAATTTCATATATAGTATGACATTACATCATGAGTTACCTTATTTTTTCATAATTACTTTCTTTGCTATACTAACCAGTGTTGTAACTTTCCTTTTTAAGTCTTATTTCTGTTGAATCTTTATAAGCAGAAGTGTAAGAAAAGTATTCTAAAAGAACTCTTCTGTTTGTGACATTAATTTTATTTTTAGTATCACTCTAAGTACGTAACCTGATGTTGTTCAGAAGTTAATATTAATTTATTAACTCCTAAATGAATATCAATTTTTTTTGGTAAAACTTTATATTTTCTCCATCCTTATATTAACTGTAGTAAAATGAAAAGTTAAAAAATATGAAATATAAACAAAATACTTTTTTTTTTAGAATTACCGCAGATTATAACAAACAGATACAATTATTTATCCTAACAGCCTTGACTTCTAACCTTTTCACATCAGCTTTCTTTTAATTTTATGGTTTTATTGCTGTACTTTGAACCATCTCTTGGCAGGAAAATGAAGAGTTAAGGATAGACAAACTATGAGGTTGTATCATGTAACATCAATCAATCCCTGTGCATTCTTTGAGAAATGATCACAATAATTTATTTTTATTTTTTCAGTTTTAACATTTGTTTTAAATATATATCGAGAGAAAAAAAAACAATAAATTTAGCACTTAGCTTTATGCCTATTTGTACTCAGGAATGTACTTTTGATAAGACTATTATTTTCACATTATGTTAGCTATCCACAAATAATTCTTGTAGCTTTTAAATAAATATTTTGGAACATAAAAGTTTATCAGGCACTAGAATAGAATATCCTAAAACTACTATAATTTATTTGTCTTTTTACCTAAGGTTTAAAATATTCCATTACTGCACAGAGCACTGACTTCAATCAACACACAGCAATATTTTCTTGGAATCTACTGTGACTGCCAAAATATAATCAAAGGAGTGTAAGAGGGTGTGCATTTTATTGTTCTTTCTATTGGTTATAAATATATTTAATACATACTATGTGGGATAGAAACTATGCTATAGCTGTGATAGATGGGAGGAATATGGTTTTTAGGTTGGACAACTTTGTTTATCTCTCAGCAAATCAAGAAGATAGGGGTTCTCATTTTATTTTGCAGCCTGTCAGTATCTACAGTTTGTGTTTCTAATTGGTTGGGCACTTTGAAAGCCATAAGTGATTAAAAAAATCCTAAGTGGAAACAACAGAGCATCAGATGCATCACATGACACAGAGTAATGAATATTTAGAATTTATTTAAATATTTCATTTTAAAATTAAGAAATTAAAACTTGAATTATAAACTGTGATTTGATGTCGAGTTGATTGGCATACATTGGTAAAAAAAAAATTGTTCAATTAAATTTTCAATGTACTTGTGTAGAAATTTTGTAACATGTACACTTTGACCCACCTGTATACATAGGGTTGAAGTATTTTGTGGGAAATAATTTAGAACTTAATGTCTGAATTTTTGTATATATCAGATATTGAACAGAAACCTTCCTACAGAGAAACCTTAAAACGGAGCTGGTCTCATCCATATTTTGAAATATAACTATAAGTTTTAGCTGTGAAAGTGTAGTAAATAACTGTTATAACTAAATAAGGAACATGGCATGGCTTTGTGGTTAGTGTGCTGGTCTAGCAATCTGAGAGTTGTTGAGTTGAATCTCATCCCCAAACTTGCTTGCCTTTTCAGTCATAGGGGTGTTATAATGTGAGTCATTCCCACTATTTGATTAGAGTAACCCAAGAATTGGCAGTGGGTTGTGTTGACTCTCTGCCTTCCTGTCACTTATAAATTAGGGAAAGCTAGCACAGATAGCCCTCTAATAACATTGCACAAAATTAAAAAAAAAACAAGCAGAACCATGAAAAACCAATTATCAGTTATAATTTAATTTCTTTATAGACTTACTAAATTAGTGAATGATACTTGTTCCTGTAAACCTTGTACAAGGTCATAAATATCTCTTTTGTTTATTATTTTTATGTTATTATGTTTTCAGAATAAATTAATAGAAAAACAGTTTTTTAGCAACTTGGAGATTTGTATAATTTAACATTCAGATAAAATATGTGGTTTAATTTACTTTGAAAAAAAATTGTTTTCTATAAATACTGTTTCTGGTAATATTTTAAAAATAATTGTAATTTGGCTAAAAAACATAAAATGAAAGAAAAACTTGTGTTGTTGGGAAAGCATGGCTTTTTATAAAGTGTTTGAATCATTGCAGTCACATGGCAGAATAAATGCTACTTTAATGACTTAGGTTTTGAAAACTATGCAAAACACACCTTACATTCCTTAGGTCTTATGTTTTAATGTAAGTCTAGATATCTACTTTTGTTTATTTTGTTTTGTTTCACTGTTATTGCAGCATGTATTTACATATGGATTGGCTAAAGGGTCTTCCTTTGCCTGTGGTTTCCTTTCATCTACTCTACATGATGTTGAATTTCACCTCAGTATTTATTTCATCTCACACATTTCTAAAATGTTATCTATCTTAATAATTTCTTTTTCTCAGATAGCTTTCTATCTATATAGGAAAAGTAATTACTCAAATATGTCTGTGAATGATTGTTTTATTTGTTTTCTTTGAAATTTGTGAATTACAAATTTAATTAATTACTTCAATTAAGTAAATAAGTAAAATATCTTATTTGTAAGTAGCCACATCCATCTTGTATTTTCTTTGGGCTATTTAAACAAAGTAATATGTATTAAGATAGAAGTAACTCTTGTTCCTTACTTCAGAAAGAAGAAGAAGATTTCTCAGAAGTAAAGTTACATTGCTCCAGTGCAACATCCAGAAATATACTACCCAGTCCCCACTTCCAGATGCCATACAATATTGTTTGTAGCAAGATTGAGGAAATAATCAGCACTAAGTGTGAAAAGATAAAAGAGCTCCTCAAAGAAAAGAATAACAATTTTGGTATGATTTGTTCAAATTTACATTTGTAATGGTTATGATATTCGTAAAGAACTATGTTTCTGTGAAGTAAAAACTTCCTCATTGCTATACATTTATTATCAGTAATAACTGTTCATTAGCTCTCTCAACATGGACTAGGTTAATTTGACCAACCATGTGACCTTTTTGTACTTGTTTAAAGTTTTTATAGATTTAATACTTCTAACTTTCAATATAGTGTGTACATCTTCACAAAATTTGGCAGTCTTTCAGTTAATGTTATAAGTCTTTCACATACAAAGAATCATGTTTTTAGTGAAGTATTTTTGAGAAAATAAAATAAAGATTTGTCTATTAATATATTGAGTATTTGTTTTGAATAGTCCATGCAAAGTAAGTTTCATGTTAAAATTAAAAATACTTTTCCTCATTTCTAAAATGTCAGATTTCCTTTGTGTAATCCATAAAACCTCCTAAATGAATTTCAAACGTTTTTTTTTCAGTAAAACTTTATAATTTATCTGTTATTTTCTTTACCCTATCTCAAAATGGGATTTGTCAATTTGACCGACCTCATAACCACCAAAAAAATCGAAATAAACCTAAATTATCCTTTTTTTTCTAGAATGACTTCAAATTGTAACATGAAACTACATTTGTTTATCCTAAGTAGCTCTAAATTCGTAACAGAATACATCTATTTATAATTAAGTTTTATTGTTTTATTGCTGTTTGAACCATGTCTAACTACTATCTGCATCATTATAAGTTGGTAATAGCTTTGGGAACGTGCAGCTCAGGTTACACTAATGAATTACATTACACATGAGCTGGTTGCATTTGTGCCTCATGAAGCATTTCTATT